TGCTTCATCACACACCAGACTTCAGCTTCACTTTATCAGTTGTCGTCCTTGAGATGAAGCAGCGCGTCGTCATAAACCAGGAGAGATGATTCTTAATTAGCCTCTGGTGGAAATAGCCTGCGCTCTAAAATGAGTGCCGGTACACACGCATACTGTAGTACGAGCAATTACTTTGTGAATGTCTACTGAATATACACAACCATACACATGCATGCAGTACTTTTATGCTCTTTTTTTGGACATTGGATTACAGTGATTAGTCATTCATTAATCCAACCAACAATGAATTAATCCTGCTGAAACAGCTGCTTGTTGTTGTTCCTTTGTGCCACAGTGCTCCATGTTGTTACTAAACTATTAAAAACACACAATGAGCCACACTGTTGCTACTCTGTGGTTTATTCCTTCATTACGATCAACATGGGCACTGTAGTTTATTTCCTAAATACTGAACTACTGAATACTAACTAGATCATCAAATGTATATCAATCTGCCACTGAAAATAGTCTGTATAGCTGTTTAAGGAAGTTACTGAGCCTTTTTTTTTAAATCTAAAAACTACATATGTGACATAGATCTTCAGTAGGATCCAGTGAGCTTCAGCCTGAGACACACAGAGGATGTAGGGAAGTGGGAAAGTATGGAAAGATGGACAAAGGTCATGTTGGTTTTCTTTAGAGATGGAAACATTTAGAACGACACCAGCGTTAATGGTTTTATTCATTACATGTGCAGTAGTTCATGTATTACTTATACAGCAGTCCATCCAAAGGCCTCAACATTTGTGTTGGGGTGGATCGGAGGTAAAGGGGGTGAGATGTAGAGCGGGTTGTCTTCCAATCAGAAGATCGGCAGTTTGATCCCTGGCTCGTCCATGTCCATGTGTCATTAACCCCGAAATACATATGAAGGCTGTGCCATCGGGTGTGAATGTGTTTTGTTTTGAGTGGTCAGAAGACTAGAAACGTGCCATACACATACAATATAATTGACCATTTGGAGGATGTATTGTAGCATTGGTTGTGTCGGAGTGTTACTGTCAGATCGTACACTAAAGCAGAGTAATGTCTTATTTAATGCACGTTGTGGTGTTTTACTGGACAGCTCTCTTTATTACTCGTCATTTTCAAGGACTTTGCTCCACTCGTCATTAAATGGTATTAACTCTTTATAACGCTTTACGGTTGTTGGTTTTGATCAACAAAACTATTTTTACGGAATTATTCACAAATGTTGGGTTCAAATTGTGATGCATGATAAGCGGCCGTCAACGTGGCTTAATGAAAGCCGTTTCAGGCAGAGAAGAGTTTAAATTGACGTGTCTGAGAACCCCTCAGGCTCCTTTAACACAACAGGTCTCTGTGGCTGCAGCTAAGCTTCTGCTGCTGCACATCGTTTCCTCTTCCCGGGGTACACTCCACCTTGCCGCCGGTGGTTGTGTTGAGTAGGAGATTGTTGTAGAGGAGGCTTCATTCAGCGAGGTGGATGATCCGCTTCCTCCCGCTGGCCTCATTTCCATATGGCCCAGTGTGGCCCTGCTGGAAACCACACTTCACTGTCTCAGGATGTTCCACCACGAGTCTCCGGCAGACTGAACTCAGAAGCGATCCCAATCACAGCGGTGAAGGTGAATTTAAGTATAGCACATATTTATCTGTAGAGCTGCTTGTAAAGATTGTTTTTCATCGTCAATTATTCTCACAATTAAAGATGCACGATGTGGATAATTACCAGCTTCTCACGACCAATAAGATAACCGATGATCTCACAATTTTTGTTTTTTTTAAGAATAATTTCATAACCTGTATTTTCTGCATACCTGCGGTTCTTCTTCTTCTTCGTGTTTATTGGTGAATCACAAACTAACTTTAAAGGTGCATAACCACCACCTCCTATATGCTGTTTAGATGCTGTTTGTTAAGTCAATGAAAGTAATTTGGCTTTAATATCTCAGTTTATCGGCTGTAATTTCATTATCTGAGTAATACTCGTGTCTCCCTACTAACAAATGTAATCCCATAAGTCCTTCTAACATCTGAAAATAGAGAGAAAACCTGTTTCAATTTCCCAGAACGCTAAATTAGTTGGGTGTTTGGCCGTTGTTTTGCTTGATTTAAAGAAAACAATAAATCCAAATAGTTGCAGATTGATATACTGTTTAATCATGTGATCGATCAATTGACTATTTGATAACATGGAGCTCAACCTAGTGATGAAACATTATCAAATGTTACATTATGAAAAGTTGCATCCGATATCAACATGTCCGTCTTTCTAAAGACTCTTTCCATCTCCTCTGTGGGTCTGAAGTCACAATGCAAAGTTAAAGTGAATGGATGTAAACAGTGAAGCCTGAATCCCCAGAAGATGGATCTTTAATGGTGTTTACTACTGTGTCGCCCCCCCCCCCCCCCCTTTTCTGGTCTAAATGGTTCGTTCCTCTTGCTGTGATGGCCTTCCTCCAAAGCCCTGTGCACCCCACCCGGTGTCAGGGGGGGATCAGCTGTGCCAGTCCCGGCAGGCCACGCACACGCACACACACACACACACACACACACACAGAACGCTGCTGGCTGGTGAACAAAGCCCTCTTGGCACTGCCGATGAAGACGAGCTATGCCTCCTCCTCTCCTCACGCCGCCGTGAGGGGGAAGGCATGACACCATTGTGGTTGTGTTTCCTCATCAAAAAGACGTTTTTAGGGGAAGAGGAGTCGGTCTTTGTAGACAGTGGAATATTCTCATCTTCTTCTTTTTGAGATGCTGGCGGAGCGCAGAGAGAACAGCAGGTAGGGGACTAACAAGAGCTGGGTGCTGAGCTGGTCTCTGGTGACCGGGAGGTTGTTTACTGTTATCGGCGACAGACTCGTTTACATGAATACTCAACATTTAGGCAGTTTGGTGACCGAGTGCAGTCGCGTAATAAGCTTTGATTACCACCGTGGAGCTGTGAGGGATGCAACAGTCGGAGCTACTGTATGAAAATATAATAACCTGATGTCTCGAGAGCCTTTATGTGCAGCATAAGAGAGATTACATTAAACTTTACAACTAGTGTAATGATCAGGACAGTCACTGCTGACTTATTAATACATTTGATTCCTTTTGTGTAATTTAAAGTCTTTTATCTCTGTTGCTGCAACACACTGTATAGAGAATCTTTATGATATATACACGGTACAGTATCTAGTGAGACTGATTGTAGTGCTTCTTAATGAATATAAATTATGTTGAATGGCATAACAGCTTTTGCATTTTACAAATCGCAGGAGGCAAAATGTGCGTCAAAATACCATTTAAAATTAAATATTATTAAATATGATATTAAACTGAAGTAAACGTCTTTGTGTGGGAGAGATCTGAGCAAAATTACATATTTTTATATATTTTTCAATGAAATGAGTAATGATGTATATAGCAAATATAATATCTGTCAAAAGTTCTAGTAGAATAAAATGTAAAAGCACAATTTATGATTCATGATGTTTGAACTGAAGTTCTACTTTTTCCTTCTCCTGGAACGCTGAGTTTCTTTAAACTCACATTTTGGATTATTAAATCCAAACAAGTGAATACACTCTTAGTAGGCGCTCTGATTGAACAGAGAGACGAGAGACACATTTCACAGACCGTCTTTAGGAATAATGAGAGCAAAATGGCGGAGAACAGCCTGGCCCACATTCGACCACATTTTAACACCTTTAGGTGTCAAACTGGAAACGAATCATTGTTATAGGACCTTCAGATTCTGTGAGAACCTATCAACAGGGTTGTAGCTCCTACAAGAACAAGCATATAGAAATGTTTCATATTCCTCCAGTCACAATGGCTGCTGCACCTCAACATTCACCGTATACAACAGCTGGAGGTATAACTCAGCAGCATGAGGCCGGTGAGCTGGTGGTAACAGTCCGTGGTGATGACTCCTCAGACCTTGTTTACTGAAGGCCTGGATCGGTATATCCAGCGGGGAGGCAGTCAGATCTGGTCCTGTCCGGACTTGTTTGGCACCAGATGATTTCCTGCCCTTCTGGTTCTCGTTACACTCGCACAGGTCACGCATCAGCTGTTGATCAAAGACACACTTCAGTAGTTCAGAAGCAGCTCCTCTGTAGCTCTGAATCCACGATGCTTCCAGCGCTTTTCTTTTTAGTAGTGATGGTTTTAAAATGTCTCCGGCTGTGTGAGGATCTACGTCTTCTAGTGGTTTGTCAGCTAATAGAGGTGTTTAATGGAAGGTTGTGTGTCACAGTGGCCTGCAGTGGAGATCGCCTGTTGTCAAAAAGGCTGGTGTGAATTCACCACCCTGCCTACATCGCCGTTTATTATCTTAAAATGTGTTAAAAGTTAGGTTTTTTTTTAATCTAACAGCTCAGTTTCTTCTTATCTAACAGCTCAGTTTCTTCTTCTCTTCGGAGCTCCCCAGCTACCCCCCCCCCC